TGCCAATTTTCCTGTTTCTGTTTCCCCCTCCTCACTGAGCAATGGGCTTACCCTGTCCTTGGTCTTCCGCATATTTCTAATATATATATATATATATATATATATATATATAGTAAAACATTATTGCTTTATTATGTTACAACATGGGTTTTCAATCAATGGTTTGCAACCCAGGACTGGATCACGGAATGTCGGGCACTAGATTTCGTTGCTGCAGGGGGGTCAGATGACCAGTGGGGATGCTAAGGCAGTTGAACTATTATCTGTCCCCTGCCTACTAAACAAGTAAAGAATAGACTCTCCCCACTAGAAGCTATGCCATGTCCCACAGGTGATTGTTGCGAAAAGCAAATGGATCCTGAAAGCTGCCCTTTCATTGAATAATGTTGCAGAAGGTCACTGACAGCAGCACCTACTCCCATCTTCTAGAGTTTGGAATTTAGAAGTATTTGCTTTAAATACTGCGTAGAGCATTATAATTAAGCAACACATGTCCCAGATCAAATTAAGCCCTAAAGAAACTTAGAGAAACAATAATTAGTATATACATTTCAAAATGATATATAAATGGTGTTGGTTTCGGATGCTGTTTTATTATAATAATAGCTGTTTCATCAGAAAGCACTATTCCGGTGTCCCTGTAACCCTCATGCCATGAGGGTTAAGGGATTTGTCGGAATAATGCCTTATTTTGAAATTTGGCACTGTGTAGACAGCATCAAATTTCAAAATAAGCTCTTTTGACTTAGGCTTGGAATAAGCTACACAATTTGCATAGCACGAATTGTGTAGCTTATTCCAAAAGAAGGGTGCTGTCTAGACACACTCTTAGACCTTATGATTATAATTCCCCAGAGACCTATTGAAACTTAACCCCTAAAAGGAGCTCTAGTGAAAAAGGCACTGATGTGGGAATGAGATATAGAAGATTCACAGATTTTAAGGCCCGAAGAGATCATTATAGAATCATAGGGTTGGAAGAGACCTCAGGAGATAAAGTCCAACCCTCTGCCCAAAGCAGGACCAACCCCAATTTAATCATCCCAGCCAGGGCTTTGTTAAGCCAGGACTTAAAATCCTCCAAGGATGGAGATTCCACCACCTCCCTAGGAAACCCATTCCAGTGCTTCACCACCCTCCTAGTGAAATACTTTTCCCCTAATATCCAACTTAGCCCTTCCTTATTGCAGCTTGAGACCATTGCGCTTCCTTCTGTTTTCTGTCTCCACTGATAACAGCCTCTCTCCATTCTCTTTGTAACCCCCCTTTAGGCAGTTGAAGGCTACTATCAAATCCTCCCTCCCTTCTTTCTTCTGTGGACTTACTCTAAGTCTCTTTAGGGCTTAATTTGATCTGGAGCAGTGGTCCCCAACACGGTGCCCGCGGGCGCCATGGCGCCCTGGGCGTGCAGCGCATGGGGCTTGCAGTGCATGGGGTAGCCCCGCCCCCAGGCGTGTGGCTATGGGGGGGCCCCGTCCCCAGGCGCGCAAGTGTCCCCGCCCTCTGGTGCCCAGTGGGCGAACAGCCACACCCCCTGGCGCCCAGCAACCTCAAATGGTTGGGGACCACTGATCTGGAGGATAGGGTCATAATTCAAAATGATCTGGACAAATTGGAGAAATGGTCTGAGGTAAATAGGATGAAGTTTAATAAAGACAAATGCAAAGTGCTCCACTTAGGAAGGAACAATCAGTTTCATACATACTGTCAGGGAAGGAGTATAGCAGAAAGGGATCTAGGGGTTATAGTGGACCACAAGTTGAATGTAAGTCAGCAGTGTGATACCGTTGCAAAGAAAGCAAACATGATTCTGGGATACATTAACTGGTGAGTTGTGAGCAAGACATGAGAAGTCATTCTTCTGCTCTACTCGGCGCTGTTTAGGCCTCAGTTGGAGTATTGTGTTCAGTTCTGGGCACCGCATTTCAAGAAAGATGTGGAGAAATTGGAGAGGGTCCAGGGAAGAGCAACAAGAATGATTAACTGTCTAGAGAACATGACCTATGAGGGAAGGCTGAAGGAATTAGGTTTGTTTAGTGTAGAAAAGAGAAGATTGAGGGGGGACATGATAGCAGTTTTCAAGTATCTAAAAGGGTGTCATAAGGAGAAGGGAGAAAACTTGTTCATCTTGGCCTCTGAGGATAGAACAAGAAGCAATGGGCTTAAACTGCAACAAGGGAGGTTTAGGTTGGACATTAGGAAAAAGTTCCTGACTGTCAGGGTGGTCAAACACTGGAATAAATTGCCCAGGGAGGTTGTGGAATCTCCATCTGTGGAGATATTTAAGAGTAGGTTAGATAAATGTCTATCAGGGATGATCTAGACAGTATTTGGTCTTGCCATGAGGGCAGGTGACTGGACTCGATGACCTCTCGAGGTCCCTTCCAGTCCTAGTATTCTATGATTCTATGATAAATAAAACCAAATTCCTCAGCCTCTCCTCGTAAGCCATCCAGCCCCCTAATCATTTTGGTTGCCCTCTGCTGGACTTTCTCCAATGCGTCCACATCCTTTCTGTAGTGGCGGGCAGAATTGGACCAATACTCCTGATGTGGCCTCACCAGTGCCGAATAAAGGGGAATAATCACTTCTCTGGATCTGCTGGCAATGATCCTCCTAATGCATCCTAATATGCCATTAGCCTTCTTGGCTACAAGAGCACACAGTTGACTCATATCTAGCTTCTCATTCACTGTAATCCCCAGGTTCTTTTCTGCAGAACTACTGTTAGTCCTCAGCCTGTCACAGTGCTTGGGATTCTTCTGTCCCAAGTGCAGGACTCTGCACTTGTCCTTGTTGAACCTCATCAGATTTCTTTTGGCCCAGTTCTCCAGTTTGTCGAGGTCACTCTGGACCCTGCCCCTGCCCTCCAGCATATCTACCTTTGTCCCCAGATTAGTGTAATCTGAATTTGCTGAAGGTACAATCTATCCTCTTATCCAGGTCATTAATAAAGATATTGAACAAACCGGGCCCCAGAGCTGACCCTTGGGGCACTCTGCTTGATACCGATCGCCAACCACAGATTGAGCTGTTGATCACTACCTGTTAAACCCAATGATCTAGCCATCTTTCTATCCACGTTACAGTCCTTTTATGCAATCCATACTTCCTTAACTTGCTGACAAGAATACTATGGGAGACCATATTAGAAGCTTTGCTTAAGTCAAGGTATATCATGTCCACTGCTTTCCACATATCCAGAGCCAGTTACCTTGTCATAGAAGGCAGTCAGGTTGGTCACGCATGATTGTCCTCGATGACTCCATGTTGACTCTTCCTGATCACTTTTGTCTCTTCCGAGTGCTTCAGAATGGATCCCTTGAGGATCCTCTATATGACCTTTAAGAACCAAAGGTACCTCCATTGTTTCAAACTAAGTAGTGGTTAGAGCAAATGTTTCCTGAATGGTATTCAGCACCTTGGCCATCCCATGCAGGAGATTTTGGAATCTAAGACCCCCTTTCCATTTTAAGGAAACCAGATGGAACCACACATTACTTCCCTCTGATTAAGAGACTACTAGATTTTTTTTTTTTACCCTTCTCTGCAAGACCTTACAGGTCCACCAACAGGAAGCAGGGGCAAAGTGGGCAGTTGTCCCAGGGCCTGGGGCTCCTGGCTGCTGCTATTGCAGCAGTGGTGGCAACCAGAGCCCCAAGTTCTTTAGAATCATTTCAGGAGCACCACATGACACATTCCAGCCAGCTCTGAGGGCTGGCAGGGGTGGTGATGGTAGGTGCCATGTCATCTGAGTGTTATTGGGAGTTGGCTATCCAGTCCCACCCCTTTTGCCTGAGGGCCTGCATCTTGTGGGGGTGCAGTGGTGCCCCCTGCCATTGCCAAGGGGTCCAGCAATCCTGTCTGCTCCCCTGGTGGGCTATATTGGTTAAGGTTGTGCATCTAGGCTGAGTTTAATTGCCCCGTACATGCTGCGAGTTCCTTCGCTCTGTCTTATCTCTCAAGAGTATATCAATCAAATGGGTATAGCACAGGTAAATCCTCGTAGATTTTAAGGCCAGAAGAGGCCATTTGTTCATATATTCTGACCACCTATATAACACAAGCCATAGAATTTCATCAAGTTACTGGTGTATTGAGTCTAATAACTAGTATTTGATAAAATCACCTCTTTCTTAAAGGCATTAAAAGTAGATTTGAAGATATCAAGAGACGGGGGGGATATCTGTCACTTATAGTAGTAGTTTGTTGAAAATATTTAAATCACACTCGCTATTAGAAAGGTGTGCCTTATATCTATTTTGAATCTGTCCAGCTTTAACTTCTAAATCATTGATTTTTTTGTTGTGCTTTTCTCCGGTAGATTCAAGAGCCTTTAGTATTAGACATTTTCCTTCCTGTCACAGTATTTTTATACCATGATCTTGATCTTTTTGATATTCTAAACATATTAGCTCTTTAGGTCTCTGATTGGATGGCATTTTTCCAGTTCTGGAATCATTAGGGTGCAAAAAAGAGACAATTATTTTTCAAACATGTAAAAAAAGTAGACCCCAGAATTGTATACAGTATTCAAGTAACAGCCTCACCAATTCCTCATATAGAGGGAAAATCACCTCCCAGTTCTTGCTTACTACTCCCCGGTTTATACTCCCTAGAACTGCAGCCATACATCCCCTCCAAAATGGTCGCCACCCTGTTTGGAGGGACATTTGGGACGCAGGGTTCTATGGCCTATTCTGTCCTTTGGCCTCTGTCAAGGCTGATGATTGCAGGAATGGGGTCATTTCTGTACAAATGGTAAAAGTCCAACCCACTGTTAGGAGGCTATGATTTTCAGTTAATATTGAACTGAGCCAGATTTGGAGATGTAATTTTACAGACCATCCCCTACTCCTAGAGAGCATAAGATTCTACCAAGAAACTGATTACACATCTGTGAATTCTCTCCACACAAAAATAATTTCATCCAGCAGGCTGATTTTAATTCCTGAGATTAATTTTAGTGCCTGCAGTAATGGCCTTATATTTTACATCCAAAGTTCATGGCTCCTATCAGGGAGATCAGTTAGTACATCCAAACATCAAAATCAGCACACGAGTATCTATTAAACAGCAGATAGAAGATATTTGTGCATCATCTGTTTACACTAGCTAGCAGTTTACTTGGGGTTATGAGTTCATGTTTGCTCCCCCTTCCATTTCTATTACTCAAGAGCTCTGGCAAATATTTACTTGACAGAATGTTCTGTCCCATTATTTTTTTCTAAGAAAATGCGCACAGTCCCCAGAGAAACACTATCTACTCACATGCTCCCATCAAGGTTTGAGACAATGGCATTTTGCTGGTGGAAGCAGGGTCAGAATGAAAACTTCTCTGATAGCTGGCTGGGAGGGGGAAAGACTCTATGTGGTCTTATGCACAGGTCTTGACAAACCATGGCAAAATCTACTCGCCAGCCCCGCACTACGCATGCGCCAGACCCGCATTGCGCATGCGCGTGCCACTGGTGAATGGGGTAACTGGCTGAAATCTACTCACCACGGACGAGTAGATTCACTGATTTGTCAAGCCCTGTTTATGCACATATGGTTTGCTCCTCTCTGCTTGGATATTCACCAGTGATCAGCTTAAGCTGGTGTTGGTAGCAGTCACTTTAATTCTGGATGCAGAGATAGTGAAATGTGGTGACCAATGTTATAATTATTGTAGGAATACTGGGAAGCAGGACCATGCTTAAGCTGTCCCAAAGGAAGGGGTCACCCTCAGCTGAAAGACTCTCATTAAGCCAGGGGCTCTAATATTCGAGTCCTGTGAAAATAAAAAGAGTGGCAACACATGTCTTAGCCAGGAGGCTAAAAGCACTTCTCCCAAGGGTTCTCCCTGGACTGGGTTACTGAAGGGTATGCATGTGTTCATTTTAAACAAAATGTGGTTTGGAAAGTAGGTATGCATAAAGAAGCATGATGTGGCTCACCACCCTAGCAACAGCCTAGAAAAGGCCAAGGGGAGGGGGGGTGAACTCAACATGTGGAGTGGAGAAGTACAAGCATGTGACAAACAAAGCCATATATGGAAAGGTTGAATCTGATTGGTTTAGAAGTTTGTTATGTAACCTGTAACTGCCATGTGCTATAAAACAGCAAGGGGAGGGGCTCATTGCTCGAGGGGCTCTGGCTGATTTTAGTACCAGGGGCTCTCCCTTTGTGCACATTGAATAAAGTCTTATTGAATTGAATTGAAGACCCTTGATTCTGCCCAGCACCTGACTCTCTGGGAACCACAAAATCCCAACATTACCTACCTCCTCTCCCCCTCTTCACAGATAGAGCTAATTAGGCTTCATTAGGAGCTTCTTTGTTCTCCCTCGAGTGGTGTTCCTGTGGGTGCTCCACTCAGGTCTTGGTGTATTCTCACACTGCTGATTGGAGATTTTTGCCTAGCAATACCACTCGCACTGCGCCTGTGCACTCGCCGTCTTGCATTGTTCTTGTCTGTTAGATGCGCACATAGTGCAAACTTCCCTCAGTTCCTTTTGTACCATCTTTGGCTGAAGACGGAGTCATAGCAGTGCTCTCCTTTCTGACAGAACACAAACAGATAATATAGTTGGTTTAGTAATAGTTGCTAAGTTTAGTCAATTCATAATAGTTTTCAGTCAATCCTTCAGTTAAAAAAAAATGCCATGGTAGCTGTTTTTCCTTTTTCAACATGCTGGGCTCTCCTGGCTTTAAGAACTGTGACTTGTGTCGGGATTCAATACCAGTTTTGGATGGACATGCATCCTGTATGAAATGTCTGAGTGAAAGTCACGCAGCACAGGAGTGCCCGCATTGTTTAAACATGACAGCCAGAGCAAGAAAATACCACAAAATGCATCTGAAGATCCTCCTAGGGAGAAATCCCTTCAACCATGGAGAGGATAAGTCCCAGAACACACACGGGCAACCAAAGGCCAATGACAGGGCTAGCTCATCACCCCATTGGGGCTCAGAAGTGTCACAGGCTTCCCTGGCATGATTGCTGCCTGTGCTGCCCTGAGCCTTCCATTCCCCGGTGCTGTCAGTCTCCGGCACCGTGGAGAAACATAAATCTACATTAGCCAGAAGTGCTGAGTCAGAATCAAAGCGCTCGGCACCCACCAGTGCCACTAATCCACTGGTGCTGACAAAGCCACACATGCCACCACCGCCCCAGCACTGCCTGAACAAGCTGCTCCCAGGCAGCTGGAACTCAAATGCGATGAGGCACCAGAGCACAAGAAAGTTTCTAGGAAGACGCGCCATTTACAAAAATCCCCACAGTCGGGTACACTGCTGGTACAGGGAGCCAGTTTACCATGCTCCCCAGTTTCACCTCATACTAGCCTGTAAAGGCAAATGGCAGAAAGGGCCCCTCACTCTCCTATACCACTGTCACTGCGAACTGAACAGGGCAGTGGGCAGCAGAGTAGTTTCTCATCTTGTCATTCATCCCCATCGTGATTAGTGGCTTCATTCGAGATCCATCCTCTTAATAACTGCCACAACTCCTGTGGCTTAACCAGCTGTGGATGCATCCTCCAAAACACATTCACCCTTAGCAGCATCTCTGGGAGCCATGGCACAGATATTGACTGTGCTCCTCCCATTCCTGTTCATGAAATACACCACCTGCTATGCCACCCCGGCTACATCAGTGCATTCCTCACCATTTCACCCGCCCTCAGTAATAACACAAGGAGATTCACCAGTACTGCATGGTTTGGCGAAATTAGATGTAGCAGTTTTCCAGGTATTGCCCGCTCCATCGGCAGATGACCTGAAACAACTTCAAGAATTATTTAAATGAGTGGCTCTATCACAGGATATTACACTCCAAGAGGTTTGACGGGGGCAGGTGAGCAAAGCCCACAGGTAAGTGCTGAATGTGCGGGACTGGGAGATGGGTTGGAAATGGGGGGAGACTACAGCCTATAATGGCAAGGAGAAAGGAGGGTCAGGGCACAACAGGGAGGCAAGATCAAATCAGTATCTTAGATGCCTATATACAATTGCGAGAAGTATGGGTAATAAGCAGGAAGAACTGGAATTGCTAACCAATAAATACAACTATGATATCATTGGTATTACAGAAACCTGGTGGGATGGGTCGCATGATAGGAATGTTGGTATGGAAGGGTACGGCTTGCTCAGGAAGGACAGACAGGGTAAAAAGGGAGGAGGGGTTGCCTTGTATATTAAAAATGTACACACTTGGACTGAAGTGGAGATGAACGTAGGAGATAGCCGTGTAGAGAGTCTCTGGGTTAAGCTAAAAGGAGTAAAAAACGAGGGTGATATCATGCTAGGAGTCTACTACAGGCCACCTAGCCAGGTGGAAGAGGTGGATGAGGCCTTTTTTAAACAATTAACAAAACTATCCAAAGCCCAAGATTTGGTGGTGATGGGAGACTTCAACTATCCAGACATATGTTGGGAAACTAACACAGCGAGGCACAGGCTATCCAATAAGTTTCTGGACTGCATTGGAGACAACTTTCTGTTTCAGAAGGTTGAAAAAGCTACCAGAGGAGAAGCTGTTCTGGATTTGGTTTTAACAAATAGGGAGGAACTAGTTGAGAACTTGAAAGTGGAAGACAGTATAGGGGACAGTGACCACGAAATAATAGAGTTCATGATCTTAAGGAAAGGTAGAAGGGAGACCACCACAATTGAGGTTATGGATTTCAGGAAGGCAGATTTTGATAAGCTCAGAGAACTTGTAGGTAAGGTCCCATGGGAAGCAAGACTGAAGGGAAAAACAACTGAGGAGAGTTGGAAGTATTTCAAAGGGACGTTGTTAAGGGCCCAAAAGCAAACAATTCCGCTGTGTAGGAAAGATAGAAAATATGGCAAAAGACCAGCTTGGCTTAACAAGGAGATCTTGCACGATCTCAAAATAAAAAAGGAGTCATATAAAAAATGGAAACTAGGACAACTAACAAAGGATGAATATAGGCAAGCAACACGGGAATGCAGGGGCAAGATTAGAAAGGCAAAGGCACAAAATGAGATCAAACTAGCTACAGGCATAAAGGGAAACAAGAAGACCTTTTATAAATACATTAAAAGCAAGAGGAAGACCAAGGACAGGGTAGGCCCACTGCTTAGCGAGGAGGGAGAAGCAGTAACAGGGAACTTGGAAATGGCGGAGATGCTCAATGACTTCTTTGTTTCGGTCTTCACCGAGAAGTCTGGAGGTGTGCCTAACGTAGTGAATACAAGCAGAGAGAGGGTAAGTTTAGAAGATAGGATACACAAAGAACAAGTTAAAAATCACTTAGGAAAGTTAGATGTCAGCAAGTCACCAGGTCCTGATGAAATGCATCCCAGGATACTCAAGGAGCTGATAGAGGAGGTATCTGAGCCTTTAGCTATGATCTTTGAAAAATCATGGCAGACAGGGGAGATTCCAGAAGACTGGAAAAGGGCAAATATTGTGCCCATCTATAAAAAGGGGAATAAGAACAACCCAGGAAACTACAGACCGGTCAGTTTAACGTCTGTCCCAGGGAAGATAATGGAGCAGGTAATTAAGGAAATCATATGCAAACACTTGGAAGGTAATAAAGTGATAGGGAATAGCCAGCATGGGTTTGTGAAGAACAAGTCATGCCAAACTAATCTGATAGCTTTCTTTGATAAGATAACGAGCCTTGTGGATAAGGGAGAAGCGGTGGATGTCATATACCTAGACTTTAGTAAGGCATTTGATACGGTCTCGCATGATATTCTTATTGATAAACTAGGCAAATATAACTTAGATAGGGCCACGATAAGGTGGGTGCATAATTGGCTGGATAACCGTAGTCAGAGAGTTGTTGTTAACGGTTCTAAATCCTGCTGGAAAGGGATAACAAGTGGAGTTCCTCAAGGGTCTGTTTTGGGACCCATACTGTTCAACATCTTCATCAATGATGTAGATATTGGGATAGAGAGTACGCTTATTAAGTTTGCAGATGATACCAAACTGGGTGGGGTTGCAACTTCTTTGGAGGATAGGGACATAATTCAAAATGACCTTAGCAAGTTAGAGAAATGGTCAGAGGTAAACAGGATGAGGTTTAATAAAGAGAAATGCAAAGTGCTCCACTTAGGAAGGAACAATCAGTTCCATACATACAAGATGGGAAGCGACTGTCTAGGAAGGAGCATGGCAGAAAGGGATCTAGGGGTCATAGTGGACCACAAGTTGAATATGAGTCAACAGTGTGATGCTGTTGCAAAAAAAGCAAATATGATTCTAGGTTGTATCAACAGGTGTGTTGTAAGCAAAACTCGTGAAGTCATTCTGCCGCTCTACTCTGCACTAGTTAGGCCTCAGCTGGAGTACTGTGTCCAGTTCTGGGCGCCACATTTCAAGAAAGATGTGGAGAAATTGGAAAGGGTACAGAGAAGAGCAACAAGAATGATTAAAGGTTTAGAGAACATGACCTATGAAGCCAGGCTTCATGAACTGGGCTTGTTTAGTTTGGAAAAAAGAAGATTAAGGGGGGACATGATAGCGGTTTTCAAATATCTAAAAGGGTGTCACAAGGAGGAAGGAGAAAATTTGTTCCTCTTGGTTTCTGAGGACAGGACAAGGAGTAATGGGCTTAAAGTGCAGCAGGGGAGGTTTAGATTGGACATTAGGAAAAAATTCCTAACTGTCAGGGTGGTCAAATATTGGAATAAATTGCCAAGGGAGGTGGTGGAATCTCCCTCTCTGGAGATATTTAAGAACAGGTTAGATAGACATCTGTCAGGGGTGGTGTAGACGGAGCTTGGTCCTGCCTTGAGGGCGGGGGGCTGGACTCGATGACCTCTCGAGGTCCCTTCCAGTCCTATGATTCTAGGTGCAAGACAAACAATACAAATTACTCACGATATTGCAACCGACGGCATCCTCAAAGATAGTGTTATCCATCAATGAAGCTGTCTTGGAACCATCTGATGTCTTATGGCAAACCCTAGCCTCTATCCCCTCCAACCAACTGTAGGGTGGATAGAAAATATTTTGTCCAACAAAAGGCATGGACTTTCTCTTTTCACATCCCCATCCAAATTCACTAGTTGTAGACTCTGTTAATCACAAATCTAAATACCCTCAATTCAAATCTACACCTCAGGACAAAGAACTTAAACAACTAGAAATGTAGCCGTGTTAGTCTGGTGTAGCTGAAACAAAAAACAAGACTATGTAGCACTTTAAAGACTAACAAGATAGTTTATTTGGTGATGAGCTTTCATGGGCTAGATGCAGGTAATCAAGTCGTTGAGACAATGTCCTTTCTGGTTGAAATGGCAAGAAACTGTTTTTTCTTTGTGATCTGTCTAATATCTGTTTTGGCGAAGTGTCTGAGACGTTTGTCCTCTGAACTGTCATTCATGCTTAAATTCGACACTTTACACCTAAGTTTGAATAAAGATGCTAATTATCTTACC